CCCGCCCCGCCGTCAGGCGCGCCCGCGTGGGGATGCCGCTTACTGGGGGACCGATGCGCGGGCCTTCCCCTGAAGCTGCCGGACATACGGGGGCACATATCAGACACAACACGGCAGAAGCGGCCGTGCTGAGCCGCGGTCCCGAGCCCTCGCTGCTGCGGATCGGAGCGCCCCGTGCAATCAAAGGGGCAGCAGCCTGAGCCGTAGAATGGGGAAGGCCCCGGTCCCCGGCGACCCCCGCGGCCGCTCGTCCCCACGCTCGGCGCCGCTCCCGTCCCGCACTCCGCGAGCCCGCGGGGAGCCGGCGCGGGCGGGCTCCGCATTGGCTGTTGCTAGGTGACGTACGCCGCGCCACGTGACCGGTGTTAAATGCCGTCCCGGCGGCGCGCGGCTCGCAGAGTCCGTCCCGCTGGCGGCGGCGGGAGCGCGGCTGCACCGCCCCGGCGGAGTGCGGCGAGCATGGTGGCGCGGCTCTGACCGCCTGTCCCCAGTGGGGCCGGCCGCGGGGCGGCGACCCGTGCCCCGGCGGGCGGGGGCGCGGGATGACGGGGGTGCTGGAGAGTCTGATGCCGGACATGCACACCAGCCAGATCTCCGCCGGCAGCTACCATCAGCACGGCGGCCTGCACAAGCCGCAGGAGTCCCCCACGCTGCCCGTCTCCACGGCCACCGACAGCAGCTACTACACCAACCAGCAGCACGGGGCAGCGGGCGGGCCGCCCTACGGCCCCGTGAGCTCCTATCCCTACGCGGGCGGCAGCACCGCCCCCTACTCTGCCAAGGCCGCCTACGACGTGGGTTACGGGGGCGCCTACGGCTCCTACGGGCCCTACGGCAGCAGGGCCTCTCCAGCCAACAACGACTCTGGTACGTCCGAGCCCCTTGTGGGGACGGTTCGGTGAGCCTGGCGAGGAGCCGATCGCGGCTCTGGGCACGGGATGGGCCGGGAGAGCGCTCGTCCCTTGTGGGTCGCCCCGACGGGGGGAGCGGTGATGCCAAGCTGTGAGAAGGGCCCGGGGTGGCGGGGGCGCCTCGTCTCACTGGGGTTGCCGTTTCTGCCGCAGCAGAGAAGGAAGACTGCGAGCCGGAGATCAGGATCGTAAACGGGAAGCCGAAGAAAGTGCGGAAGCCCCGGACCATCTACTCCAGCTTCCAGCTGGCGGCTCTGCAGCGGCGCTTCCAGAAAACCCAGTACCTCGCCTTGCCCGAGAGAGCGGAGCTGGCGGCCTCCCTCGGCCTCACCCAGACGCAGGTAAGGCTCTCCCTCAGTGGGGCCCCGGGCACGTCCCGCCCCGCCGGGGCCTGTTGCCGTCCAGGGTGTCGGGTGCGAGCGTGGGAGGAAGGCCGGCCCATGGCGCCTCGACGGCCCGGGGTGGGAATGCAGGCGAAGCGGCAGCGCCGGGAGTACTCGGGGCTGCTAAAGCTGCGCGTCCCTGCCCCGCCGCGGGCGGTCTGGGCGCCGGGAAGGCGCCGCAGAGGCAGCGGCCGCCTGACGCTCCTTTCCCCGCAGGTAAAGATCTGGTTTCAGAACCGCCGCTCCAAGTTCAAGAAGATGTGGAAAAGCGGAGAGATCCCAGCGGAGCCGCCTCCCCGCCGCAGTTCTTCGCCGCCGTCTCCCTCCTCGCCCCCCGCCTGGGACTTCGCTCCGCACCCACGAACCGCAGGCGGCGCCGGCACTGCCAGCCCCAGCCCCGCCGCCGCTTTCCTCGGTAGTTACTCGTGGTACCCTCCGGCCCCCGGCGGCCCGGCGCATCTGCCGGCGGCCGCTCCTCTCCCGCAGCCGGCGCAGCCCCCGCATCACCACGGCAGCGGCAGCATCTTCTAGACTCTGTAGAGACTTGAGCCCGCGGGCCGCACCAGGCGGCCGCGGGACACCGACGTGTAGCACTGGTGTTCTGGTGAAGCGTGGCTCCGGCCCCGGCCACCCCGGCGGAGAGGAACCCCTCCGCGCCCCGTCCCGCCCCGTTCCACCGGCGGTGGGGCCCGTGTGCATTCGACCCCGTGGGGTACTCCCTCCCGCCGTGAAAACAACCACGCTGCGGAACAAGTACTCATCTCCCTCCCTCTTCGTCTATCTTCCACCTCTTCCCCGGCATTTTCATCAAACCACCGGTGCAGAACTCTGGTTAACTTTACTTTTTATTTTTTTAAAGTTGATAGGTGCCTTTGCGGATAACCTCACTTAAATGTTGGGGATTAAAAAATAAAACGATTAAAAAAAAGATAAATAATTTTTATATGTAGATTTAAAACAGAAGCCTCCCGTGTTTAAGGTATACCTTTTAGCCGTGAACGAAACCGTCCGGCGGGGGCGGGGGCCGGTCGCAGGTGGCGGTGCCGGCGCGGCTCCGGCCCGTGCGCTGCCTTCGGGCCGATTTTGTGCCCCGATGTGGCTTCCCCGGGTCGGGCGCCAGCCGCAGTGAACCCTCCTCTCCACCCCACTCTGCTCTTCCCCCGCCGGCAACCTAGCCACCGACATGCCCCTGATCTGTTTGATGTCTAGCGTCGTGAAAAGAAAAAAAACACGGTATTTTTGGTTATTTATTATGGAAAACTTATACAGTCATTAATGTTTCTTTTACAATAAGCAGAGATTATTTAAATAAATTATTGTTTCCATGGTGCCCACGCTGAGTTTTTTGGGGATGGGGGAGGTTGAGGGTATCGATTTGGACCTGGGCGTTCTCTGGGAGGGAGAGTTGCGTCCCCTCCACCCCCTCCCCATTGTAACTGTTGCCGCAAGCCTGCAACTTCCCCCCTCCTTCCCGTCTTTCCCGTCTACAATAAAATCTCGCTCCTGACAGTCTTCTCGGCGAGGCCATGAATCACTCAGCGCTGCCTGCAGCAGCCCAGAGCTGCCCCCCCGCTTCCCCCTCTCCCGCCTGCTGGCGCCAGCGACATTTCACCCGGGACAGACTCCTGCCGTCTCACAGCTTCCCAAGGCGGTCCAGAGGGGTTTGGGGCAGGGTTGTGCCCGGGATTCGTAGTAGTCCTGGAGCTGGTCCTCGGGTGCGGCCCTGACCCAGAGGCATTTCGCCGTGTCCCACCGGCAATGGCACCCAGACCGACAACCTGCATGGGCTCTTTGCTTGGAGCAGAGCTGGTGGCTGCCCCAAGCCCCTCTGTGGTGCTTCGAGGGCTGGAGGTACCTACTGGACTCTCTCTGAGATGTGCCCCTCGAGGACTGGAGCCCTCAAACCCCTCAAGCTGTTCCTCTCTGGGATGCAGCCCTTCACCTTCATCCCACCTAGCTGAAATCCTCTGGGATGTACCTCATAAGGGCAGCATCCCTCCAGGATGAACCCCTTTCAAGGCAGCACCCCCTCTAAGCTGCAGCTTCATGGGGTGTATCCCTCGAGGGCTGGATCACTCCAGGATGTAACCCTCTGGGAACACTCTCGACACCCCTCTGAGCTGAGCCCTCCCTTTGATGACCTTTGTTGCACCCTTCGGGCCACCCCACTCGGGATGCCACCTCCCGGCTGTGCTGTAACCCTGAGGGACCTGTAACCCTGTAACCCAAGCTGTAACCCTGAGGGACAAAGCCCTGCGGACTGCATCCCTGGAGGCACTGTTGCTGGAAGAAGCAAAAGGGGGTGAAATAAGGGATCTCTGCCCTTCGTCACCGAGAGGACCCTGCCATTCTTGAAGAGGGCACGGAAAGAGAGCAGTGCGGAAGATCCCGTGGCAGACAAGATGATGAAGAAGGCCCAGGCCAGCTTGCCCAGGGTCGGGAATGCGCAGCCTGGCCGAGACTCTTCCTAGAGGCCTTGGCATGAGGAGCCCGGGCGGGGCTGGGGACGGCGGAGGGGGGCGGCCCCACAAGGAGAGACATCGGGAGGAGGGGGAAAAGAAGGGGCAAAAGAGGGAGGGGGGAAGAAGGGGGGAAAGCGGGAGGGCAGATTGCTTCTGAGAGCTTGGGGAAAGCTTGGGGCGAGGGGAGGCGGGGGTTTAAGGAGGAGTGAAGAAAAACCAAGAATGACGGAGGGATGTTGGAAGACGAGAGTCGGGTGCAAAGAAAGCGTGAGGAGGGAGCGGAACAGACAAAGGGGAAAGCGGCAGCTGCCGTCCAGTGCCGGCGATGACCCGGCGTCGAGGACGGGGACGACAGCCCAGAGCCTCCCCAAGAAAAAGAGGGACCGACCCATCCCGTATCTCTCCCCTCCTTCACCCTCCAGCCGGCCGTGGGGAGACCTGGCGGCCTCTGTCGTCCGCTTCGGCGGGGGAGAAGAAACTTCCCCGCTGGCGGACGGCGAAGCGCTGGGGCGGCGAGCACGGAGCGGGGCGGCACACGTGGCGAGCAGTGGCGCGGAGCCCCACGCCCCCGTGGTCCGGCAGGAGCTGTGCTCCCGGCAGCGCGGTGCTTCTGCGGGCTACCACGGGGGACCGGGAGGGGGGGAAGGGGGATACACCCCTTTGGCAGGTGATAAGTTTTGCCAAATCCGTCGTCCGGGATGCACGAGGAACCCGTGGGCGCTGGCCACGGCCGGGAAGGAGACGATTCCCATTCTCGTTCCATCCTCGTCTCCCCACCCCATTGTTTTCACAGGCGTTTCTGTCAGTTAAATAAAGTTCCCCCCCAAACATCTGCGCCCCGGTCTCTCCTGCACAGAGTTTCCAGTTTTCAGCATTGCGGAGCGGGCTCCGTGGGGTCGGGCAGGATGCCGACAGCGGCGGGGGGTCCCTGGGACAGGGACCTGTCCAACGTGAGAACGCTGTCGGCGGTCGGGGAGCAGAGCACACCACTCCCAGGACGGGAGCCTTCGCGCCTTCTTTCTGTCATTTAGTATTACATTATTTATTTAATTATTACTATTTATTTGCTGCCTGCTGGTAGCAGTCTTCTCTGGGCTGTCCGCACCTGGTATATGCGATGGGGTTTTTCGTGCTTCAGCATCCCCGTTATCTCCCAGATAGCCCTCCCAGGCTCCGTATTTCACCCGCTGCTCGCATCCCAGATGCGGCTCACACCGTGCGGGGGTCGGCGATATCAAGCGGATGCAGAGGCGCGTTACAGCAGCTCCGGCGCGCACCGCATATGCAGACGTATAGATACGCGTGTGTTCGTAACCTGTTTTTTTTCTGCTCCTTTCCTGTCCGATGGGATGGGGCAGGCACCGCAGAGGGCCATGATCCCACTCACAAGTTGCACGGGGATCGGCCGCCCGGAGACGGCCAAAGTCGCGGGGAGCAGGATAACCGCAGGATAACCGGGGGGCGAGACATGCCCTGGCCTCAGCAGCACTCCGGGAAGGGTTGCCGAGCGGGGGAGGGAGCCTGGTGGGGGAGCTGGGACGATTCCACCCCACGTCCCGGGGTCGAGGTTCCCCCTTCCGCCCCCCGTCGGGCCTGGTCCCGGCACCGGACCGGGCGGGGCGGCTGAGCGGGAGCGGTCCCGGGGGGGCGACCGGGGTAAGTGACAGCTCCGCGACCAGCCCGGTCCGGGAGGGGGGCACGGCAGCCGCCCGGCCGAGGGGGCACCCTCTGCCCCCCCGGAGCACGGGCGGGGCTGGCCGGGCTTGTACCGTGGGGAGGCAATTTACTCATTTGCCCGGTGAAAAGAGAAAGCACGAGAAATTCAATTAAAGCGGCTCTGGCAAAAGGAGTTATTTGAGGCATGAATGTCTCCCCTAAAGCTGCAGCAATCATGTGGCATTAGACACTTCCGGAATCCTATAGCCAACTTGAAAAATCCCAGACCCCTTTTTTCCCTAATTTTTGCTCTGATCTGTAATTTTATCCACATTTGCACTAGTTTGAGCATTCTGGCTCTCCCATCTGAAAGCCTGCAATTACTATATAATTCTTCGCAATTTCACATGTCCTAATATGGACTGTAATTTTTGCGCAAGACAATTTCCTGCTATTTCAAGCATCAACATTGTCAAAGTTGTATGTACATAATAAATGGGAATATCAATGCATAGTTTTTAGCATAACATCTTGACTCCTCGATAATTATATCCGTTCGGAGCCTACGCAGAATTAGCCTGAATTGCATGGTAACTGCTGCTGCTTTAAAATTTTTAAAAATTACTCATAATTTTCCCAAAGATTACCAAGATCTCGAGTGCACAATGTCATCAGCGTAATGAAGAGTAAACATTTATGCTAATAATCTGCAATTTTTTTCATCAGCTATAAAGACAGAGGCTATATAGCAGAAAATTTCAGTCATATTCTGCAAGAGCAGAGCTGCAAAAAGGCTGCTGCGCTCAGAGGCATGTGCATCTCTGGGGGATCTCAATCCACATTTGCACTCTCAGGATATTATTATTGTGCTCGGCTTCTTTTTTTTTTTTTTTTTTTTTTTTTTTCCTTTCCATTTCTTTTTCCCTCCCCGATCCTCTCCCTCTCTCTCACACTCTCTCGTTCTTCTAACTTTCGTAGCAAAAAGCCGCGTTCGGTCTTTTGGTTTGTTGTAAAGCAAAGACTTATGCCCAGAGCCTCAGGGACTGAGGCGGAAGGTAAGGGTGGCGACACAGGCTCCTTTCTCGCGGGGGTAGGTGAGTGTACGGGGCGCAACGTGGACGGATGCCCCGCGCGGCCGGGAGACGGGGGGGAAATACCGGCGGCGGCTCCGCCGACCCAGCCTCCCTCCAAAACTTCCCGCCGGCGGCACCGGGGCGAGGAAGGGAGTGGGACGGCCGGCCGGGCGATGGGGCTGCCGCGCACAGCCGAGCCGAGCTGCGCCGAGCCGGAGCATCTCGCGGGCAGAGCCGCGCTGAGCCGCGGAGCCCGGCGCGGGCACAGAGCGCGGGCAGAGCGGCGCGGGGGCACTCGCCGCCCGGGACTGCCGCGCTGCCGGGGGCTGCCGGCGCCGGCGAGCGCTCGCTTTCGGTGGTGGTTTCGTGGTGTGCGTTTGTCGGTTCTTTGCGAAGGGGAGCGTTACTGCCCGGTCCCGAGCCGGGAGGAGGGGGGGAAAGGAGCCGGAGCGGGGGGGACATGGCACTTTTTCACTGGCATGAGAGTGGCGGTGGCGGCAGGAGAGGGGTAGGAGGGCGGCGGAGGGGAGAGCGGAGCGGGCGGCGGCGGGGATTTCTCATCCCCCCCTGTCAAACGAAGGGAGCAAATTCCGAATGCAAACGGGCTTGGGCTCTGATATTTGATTTTTTTCTAGTTTCAGGGGCCGCTCTGTGCTCTGCAATTAGATTGACACATGTACAACATCCCCAGCTATTCAAGGGGGTTCGCAGGGACACTCCAAGGGGATTTTTTTTTTCCCTTTTTCTTTTTGGGTGGAAGATATTAAAGAGGTATCCGTTGTTTGGCAATTTTGCTAAGTCTGTCTTCATTACTTCAACATTGTGCATTTGCTAATTTGGAAGCCCCTTCCTATTGACAGCTCTGCTCCATACACCTGCAA